GCCGCGGGCAGGCACCGGGGGGGGCCCTCTGGCCGAATGGAGGCCCTGCCATTGGTGGCCCCTCACCGGAGCCCCCTCTTGGGAGCCCCCCTCTCTGGGCCAGTTCAAATGTGGGCAGTGGGGCTCGGAGCACGGCTCTCCCTGGGGAGACAGCAGGACCCGAGCCAGGGCCTGAGCCTGCCCCAGCTACAGCCCTGCCACGGCCATCTCCCCCTCCGGCTCGGCACCTGGGCACCTTCGCTACGGCCCCTCGGTCCCTGGCAAGGGGCCGTCTCAGGGCGGAAGCGCTTGCCTGGGTCTAACACCATCCTGGGCTGACAGCCTCATATTTATCGGGCTCTCAGGCCGGGAGCCTCCGCAGCACTTCTTCTTCAAAATCGTTTTCCTGAAGGTGGAGGCAGCAGGTTTGCAGACATGTTGGTGATGCCCAGAGCCCGCACCCCTCCCCCACTCAAACTCCCACCTCTGTGCCAGCCAGAGTCTCTGGGAGGGAGTTTGGGTGCTGGGTGCAGCCTGTCACATCCTGTCCCTGGCAGGTCCCAGGCCTCCCCCTCCAACCCTGGCTGCTGCAGCTCAGATGCTGGCTCCAGGTGGCAGGACCCTACTCCCCAGCGTCAGCCCCTCCGCTGCCTGCCCTGCCAAGCCTCTTGTCCGGAGAGTCGCCCCGGGCTGGGCCTCTGCCCTGGTTCCCCCTGCTCTCCTCTGCTGCTCCCTGCACCCGCCTCCAGTCCCAGCTCTGCTGCCTCCTGCTCCCGGGCTGCTTCCCTGGCCCCTCCAGCTGCAGCCCCACCCCTGGGCCATGTCTCTGGCTGCAGCCCCGCTCCTAGCCAGGCCCCACTGCTGGGCCGTGTCTCCAGCTGAATTGGCCCCTCCAAGCTCAACCCCCTCAGACTGACCCAACTCACACAAAAGGAAAAACTATGCAGCTCTTTAAAGACTAACAAGATGGTTTATTAGAGGATGAGCTTTCGTGGGCCAGACCCACTTCCTCAGATCATATTCTAGAAGAGAATTGGCATGGCCATATACACCAAGGCTACGTCTACACTGGCATGATTTTCCGAAAATGCTTTTAACGGAAAAGTTTTCCGTTAAAAGCATTTTCGGAAAAGCGCGTCTAGATTGGCAGGATGCTTTTCCGCAAAAGCACTTTTTGCGGAAAAGTGTCTGTGGCTAATCTAGACGCGCTTTTCCGCAAAAAAGCCCTGATCGCCATTTTCGCGATAGGGGCTTTTTTGCGGAAAACAGTACTATGCTGTCTACACTATCCCTTTTGCACAAAAGTCTTTCGGAAAAAGACTTTTGCCCGAACGGGAGCAGCATAGTATTTCCGGAAAAGCACTGATGATTTTACATGAGATCGTCAGTGCTTTTCCGGAAATTCAAGCGGCCAGTGTAGACAGCTGGCAAGTTTTTCCGCAAAAGCAGATGATTTTGCGGAAAAACTTGCCAGTCTAGACACAGCCCAAAGGACTACAAGGAAAAAAGTGAACATATTATTAAACTGACAAATCAGATTTAGAACAGAAGGTGGGGCGAGGGAGAGGGAGGGAAGGAATAGCTGTTTATAAGTTGATGAATGGCTAATCAGGGGTGAAAAGTAGGGAAGCTGTCTTTATAATGTGTAAGGTAATTAGCATCTTTGTTAAGGCCCATTGGTAAAGTGTCTAATTTAAGCATGAATGACAGTTCTGAATCTTCCCTCTGTAAACTGGTGTTAAAGTCTCTTTGAAGTAAAATGCATGTAGTAAGGTCGTTAAGACTATGTCCAGGTAGGTTGAAATGCAAACTGACAGGTTTTTCCTTGTGAAGATGTCTGTCTGATGTCTGATTTGTGGGCATTAATTCTTTGGCGAAGACACTGTTGGCACATGATAGCATAAATTATATTTCTGGACGAACAGGAATCTGTGTTCTTGATCGTATAACTGACATGGTTAGGCCCAGTGATGGTGTCACCGGAATAAATATATGGACAAAGTCATATTTCCTTATAACAAGCATTGTAAATGAGATTAATGCATGTTGCACCATACAGGCGTTTCATTCGTCTAAACATGAAAATCATCCAAAGAAGTGGGTTGTGCCCGCGAAAGCTCATGATACCATTTACATATTTTATTTATTTAAGGTGCTACTAGACTATTTGTTGTTTTTTAAGTTTTTCCTAGTACAGACTAACTCTGAAGCTCATGTTTGTAACTCTATTAACACTAACACACAGGTAAGCCAGATTGGTTCCTGTTACATATTTTACAATGTTCAGTTGCAACTTAGGGGCCTTGGTATAAGCAGGCACCTGATCTGGTAGCCAACATCTTAGGGCTTTTAGTTGTACTTCTTTAAAAATGACAAAACCACAAAATCTTCTCCCTTCCTTGACATACCATACCTCTTTATTAAGCCCCATTTCCATTTCTTCAGTAATGTAACTGTGGTGAATTTTGAACCCTTCCTTTGAGCTACTTCTAAACTACACCCCTCTGTTGGCAAAAATATGTAAATTAGACATAATGAAAGTGCAAATGAAGCAGGGATTTAAATGTCCTGTGCTTCATTTGCATAATGGTGGACGCTGCTTTTTTTTTGAAACGGGGCTTTTTGAAAAAACCCAGCAGTTTAGACAGGGCATTTTTGACAGAAATGCCCCATTACAAAAGATCCTCAGAGTACAGGATCTCTCGAAAAGGGGCATTTCTATCGAAAATGTCCCATCTAAACTGCCGCTTTTTTAGAAAAGCCCCATTTTGAGAAAAGCGCCAGCCACCATTATGCAAATGAAGGGCGGGATATTTAAATCCCTGCTTAATTTGCACTTTCGATATGTCTAATTTACATCCCTTTGCTGACAGAGGGGTGTAGTTTATACGTAGCCTTGGAGTGAGATTGATCTGGAGGCAGAGGATACTTGGGGTAAAATGTTTAACAGAATATAAATGTTTTTGTACGGACGTGTGTATCTTTCTTCTGGAATCTCTTGGGCTATTGGTGCTGCATTTCTTTATGAACTTTTCTGTTTGCTTCAAGAAGAGCCTGGTACCTGACATGTATGCATTCACATACTGCAATCTTTGCCCTGTAAGTTTGACTCTTCCATTTCTATTTCTACAAAGGACAGAAATGCATTAGGTTTTGTACCAGGCCGATGGTGGTTGGTTTTGTTTTGTTTTTCCTTCTGAAACACACAATGGGAAGTGGACAGACACAAATAACATCTTAAAATGCATCTGCTTTGGAATCCCCCTCATGCTTCTGGCTGGCTCTTTCCCACAACAATTGTACATATAACTGAAGACTTCTACAGAACTAAAACAAAAGGAAAAACTTTGTAGCACTTTCAAGACTAACAAGATGAGCTTTTGTGGGCCAGACCCACTTCCTCAGATCATATTCTGGAAGAGAATTGCCATGACCATATATACCAAAGGAATACAGTGGGGAAAAAAGTGAACATATTATTAAACTGACAAATCAAATTTAGCACAGAAGGTGGGGTAAAAGGGAGGGAATAGCTATTTGAGTCAATGAATGGCTAATCGGGGTGATAAGTGGGAAGCCATCTTTGTCATGGTTAAGGTAATTAGCATCTTTGTTGAGGCCCATTCGTAAAGTGTCAAATTTAAGCATGAAAGGCAGTTCTGAAGTTTCTCTCTGTAATCTGGTGTTAAAGTCTCTTTGAAGTAAGATGCAGGTAGTAAGGTCATTAAGACTATGTCCAGGTAGGCTGAAATGAAAAGCAACTGGTTTTTCCTTGTGAAGATGTCTGATTTGTGAGCATTAATTCTTTGGCGAAGTGTCTGAGAAGTCTGTCCAATATACATAGCAGAAGGACACTGTTGGCACATGATGGCATAATTTATATTTCTGGATGAACAGGAATAGGTGTTCTTGATCATATAACTGACATGGTTAAGTCCAGTGATGGTGTCACGAGAGTAAATATGTGGACAAAGCTGGCAACGGGGTTTGCTGCAAGCGTAAGTTCCAGGGTTGGTATTAATGTGGTATGTCCTGTGGTTATTGATAAGAATCTTCCTGAGGTTAGGTGGTTATCAATAGGAGACTATGGGTCTGTTCCCCCAGAGCCTCTCAGAGTGTAGTATCCTGTTCCAGTATACGTTGTAGGTTATTGATAATGCGTTGGAGAGGTTTAAGTTGGGGGCTATAGGTGATGACAAGTGGTGTTCTATTGTTGGTTTTCTTGGGCCTATCTTGAAGTAGATGGTTTCTGGGTATTCGTCTGGCTCTTTAAATTTGTTTTTCTTATTTCTCCTGGTGGGTAATTGAGATTTACAAATGTTTGGTAGAGATCTTGAAGTTTCTGGTCTCTGTCAGTGGGATTAGAGCAGATGCGGTTGTACCTAGGGGCCTGACTATAGATGATGGATCGTATGGTGTGTCCTGAATGGAAGCTGGAGGCATGTAGGTAAGTGTAGCTGTCAGTGGGTTTTCTGTAGAGAGTGGTATTTAATTTTCCATTAGTGATTTGTACTGTGGTGTCCAGGAAATGGATCTCTCGTGTAGAATGGTCCAGGCTGAGATTGTAGGTTGGTAAAGTCTCTGTGGAATGCGTTCAGTGTTTCTTGGCCATGGGTCCAGATCATGATGTCATCGATGTAGTGTAAGTTGAGGAGGGATAAAAGGGGTTGAGAACTGAGGAAACGTTGTTCTAAGTCAGCCATAAAGATGTTAGCGTACTGTGGGGCCATGCGGGTACCCATGGCTGTGCCGCTGAACTGGAGGTATGTTGTCCCCAAATTGGAAATAATTGTGGGTGAGAACAAAGTTACACAGATCTGCTACCAGATGGGCTGTGGTATCATCTGGGATAGTGCTTCTAATCACTTGTAATCCATCTTTGTGTGAAATATTGGTGTAGCGAGCTTCTACATTCATGGTGGCAAGGATGGTGTTATCAGGGAGGTTATCGATGTTTTGTAGTTTTCTCAGGAAGTCAGTGGTATCTCGGAGATAGCTGGGAGTGTTGGTACATAGGGTTTGAGGAGAGAGTCCAACAGTGAGTGTGCCAATACCTGAAATGACGGGATGTCCGGGGTATCCAGGTTTATGGATTTTGGGAAGCAAATAGAACAATCCTGGTTGGGGTTCAGAAAGTGTTTCTGTGTGTTTTTGGGCCCGAGTAGAGGTAGAGAGTTCCTTACGGAGACAGTGTAGTTTCTTTTGGTATTGTGAAGTGGGATCAGATGAGAGGTCTGTAAAATGTGGTGTTGGAGAGTTGTCTAGCCGTCTCCTGTTCATAGTCTGACTTATTCTTAATGACCACAGCGCCCCCTTTGTCAGCTGGTTTGATTATAGTGTTGGGGTTGTTTTTGAGACTCTGGATAGCATAGCGTTCAGTGCGGCTGAGATTGTATGTGTGATGTAGTGGGGGTACCTGGCTGGTTTCTATGCTGCTGGCTCTGGGGTAACCCCCACTGCTGCCGTGGGTACCAGGACCCAGCAAAACAGGATGAGTCACTATGCAAACCAGTGGCCAGACACCCCCCATGGAGAGGAACAAAGGAAGGTGGATGCTGCCCTGGCTGGGGGGCAGGGCTGGAAGAGAGTTAGTGAGTTGCGGTCTGGGAGCATGGAGGAGACAGCCTAGGGAAAGGGGCTGGAGTTTAGGGGCCCAGTCTCCCCCATCTCAAGGGGGCCTGAGGCATCCTAGCCCAGCTCTGGGACCAGATTCCATCTGTTCTGTGCTGTATCCTGGAGAGGCAATAAACTTCCTCTATTCCACCAGCTGATGCAGTCTGTTTGTGCCATTTCGGGGTGCAGGAGACGGGGGACCCCCAACGTGCCGTAACAGTATGTCCCTTGTTGTTGTTTGTGTATAATGTCAGTCTGTGCATTGTTGTGGAAATCCAGATTGTAATTGCGACTGCCAGGGGGAGTCCACAGGACAAATCACTAATGGAAAATTAAATACCACTCTCTACAGAAAACCCTCTGACAGCTACACTAACCTACACGCCTCCAGCGTCCATCCAGGACACCCCACACGATCCATCGTCTATCATCAGGCCCTAGGTACAACCGCATCTGCTCTAATCCCACTGACAGAGACCAGAAACTTCAAGATCTCTACCAAACATTTGTAAATCTCAGTGCCCCAGATTTGTGTCCAATATGGTCGCTCTGGCACTGTAGTTCTATTTCTCCAGAAACAAACACCTTCATTTAGTCTTGTGGGCCTGTCAGCTTCTTACATCTATTTCTCCAAACAGCAGCCACCAAAGCCAGATGGTTCTGCTTCCAACGGTAAATAGGGACACGGTGCGTAATGTCCTGACCGCTCTGTGCTAACAGCCTTCATTACTCTCGGTAAAGTCTCCTCGTTAGCTCTGACCTCTGCAAAGTCTTTCCCCTCCCTGAGGCTGGACGATACTTTTTTAAAACAGTGGGGCATGCACTACGCCCGAATCCGCCCCTGCTCCTACTGCAGTTGTATCAAACGTCCTGGACAATGTGCCCTTTCCCCCGCCCACCTGCACTCTCTGTACCACCCTGGGGCTTGGCATCTTTTAAATCCAAGATCGGTGCTTCATTCCCTGACAGATCAACAGTTCTCTTTGATCTTTTACCGTCACACCAGTACACGTGTTCCAACAGTGGCAGCAAATTCCCCCCTTTAGAAACATTTAGTTTGACCTTCTTATTCTCCATGGTCCCTCTGGTTTTTTTCCATTTTGTTAACACCAATCCCTGAAACAACATTGGCCCGAGCACCAGTCTGCAGCTTGTCGGTTGTGACAGTCCCACTAGTGTCTAAGGAATCGTCATTCACCTGCCCCTTCCTCCTCAGGGACAGCTGCCAGAGAGCGTCCGGCTCCCTTCTTGCATTACTGCACAAGCAAAGGGTTTGCTTCCCCTTGCGGAGTCGCTGACCCTGGGTGCGGACGGGGGCGCAACGATTGTCTTTCCCACTGACACTGCAGTGCTCTCCGAACGCTGGGCACCCTCCAGGCCACGTTCCCACCACATCTTGAGCAGTCCCCAACGTTTTCCCGACAAACTCTTGAGCTTTGCTTCTCCGTGCATCTTTCCTCCTTTGTCTGCTGTTCCCCTGACTGGCTGCTTGCCAGGTTTGTGCCACCGCCCAGTGTGGCAGGATCCCCTTTGCTTCCACCGTTTCCACGGGGTTGTGTGATTTCTGCTGCCAGGCCCAGTCTCACGGCGGTAGCCAGACTGAGAGCCATGTCTTCCCATAGCCCCTGGGCGGCTTTGGAGCGCTGGTGCCACGTACAAACCACAACAGCCCAGTGGGAAGTGTCCTCGCGCTTCCCCAGCACAAAGAGAGGGACCATCAGACCAGCAGCTGCCTCCCGCTGCGCAGACTGGAATCCCGCAGACACGCCTGCACCGAAGCAAAGGCACCACGGCAGTGATCTGCCGTCTGGAGCCTCCGCCAGGCTGCAGTCCCTGAATGCCCCACGTGCGTATGGAAAAAGCAGCTGTGCTATATCGGCAGATACAGCCTGGGCATGCGCCATTGGCCTTGACTGTTTCTCTGACACGGGCACACGTAGCACTGCCGGCACTGGGACACTAGCTCCTTCCTCCCCTCCCCGGCCAGGCTGTAAGGGCTGGGGGCAGCGAGGGCTGGAGGCTGGAGCCAAACCCATGCGGATGGGAAATCAGGCGCATGTTGTGAACGGTGACTGGCTGCTCCTCGGCAAGATCTGCTCTGGGGTCATTCTGGGGCATGCTGGGGCCTGAGAGGCACAGGGGGGCAGACCAGAGGGGCACAGTGGTCCCTTGGTCTTGGAGCCCATCCACCCGCTGCTGTCGGCGCCTGGGGGCGAGCACCGCACGGAGCACAGCGGGGCCCGTGTGACACGAGGCCTCCCGTGGCTACTGCCCCACCACTAAGAATCGAGCAGGTGGCTAGTCAATGCGCCCAACCCTGCTCCCCGGGAGGTCAGCGGGGGGCTTGGGCTGGGCGCAGTGGGTCAGACCGGGCTCCTTCCTGGGCGCCCTCTTTCAGTCTGTCAGCAGACACAGTCCCCTGCACCAACACTGGGAGCAACGATTCCGCCCGGCTCCGTCCAGTAACGTCCCTGGGGCAGCAGTGGCTGCTGCTCCCGTCCCGGCCACGTCCTGCCAGGCCACGGCGTCAGCTGCCGCTGTGACCGCTGGAGCTGCAAGCGCTCAGTGGGACCGGCTGGAATGTGGGGCGTGGGAAGGAGGCGCTGGGATGGGCCAGGCAGCTCTTCCCTGGCCCCAGGCTCCCTCCTCCCTGCACATAAAAGGCTCCTGGCTAGCAGGGAGAGGAGAAGGTGGGAAGAAGGCGAGTGCAGCGGCCACTGCAGAGACCAGCCCCAGCCATGGGGAGAGCTGCCCGGAAATGGCTCGTCCCGCTGCTCTGTCTAGCAGTAACGGTCTGTCAGGCTCAGGACACCTGCCCAGGTGAGGGACAGACAATCCCTGTTCACAGCTGCATTTCAGCCTCTGCTCCCTGCCCAGCTGGGCCCTGCAGAACTGGGAACTGGGCAGCAGTTCTGTGGTGCTTTGCCTGCTCGCGGTGCCATGTAACAGCTTCTTTGTAGAAAATTACCCACACAGCTAATGACTCAACTTATGCCTTATAAAATCTTACTCTTCAAAGCTCATTGGGATCCTATGATTTCAGATTTCTCTGCTTTTTAAAGTTAATGTTTAATAATTTAAGATGATTAGAGCCCTGCAAATCTATGGCTATCTGCTTTATATCTGCAGGTATCCACAGCCACAGTTCATTTTTGTGAATTTTGATACAAATTTTGTATCTAGAACCCTGCAAATGTGTGGATATCTGTTTCATATCTGTGGGTATCTGCATTCATGGATTCATATCTGCAGTTCATTTGTGCAGCTACAGTTACTAGAGCGGATATAAAAATTTGTATTTGTGCAAAGCTCTAAAGATGATTATTTTTAAAATCACATCTTGTTCTGTATCTATCATTACAAGTCCACAATATAACTCATTCCATGTCAAGACATTTGTTTCTACACTTTGGGTTGAGAATTCAGCAGCATTGGCAGGTTTATTTTAGTTCACCCTGAAATCCTGTGATTGTTAGGCAAAAGTTAGTCACGTTTGTGCAGAGCTCATTCAGGCGAACTCCCTTTAGAGGAAATGGGATGCTTCCTAAATAAGGATTGAATAGAGGCATTGCTATCTTAGAAAGAAATCAATGTATTACTTCAAGGATAGTGATAGAAATGTAGCTGTGTTAGTCTGGTGTAGCTGAAACAAAATACAGGACTATGTAGCACTTTAAAGACTAACAAGATGGTTTATTAGGTGATGGGCTTTCGTGGGCCAGACCCACTTCCTCAGATCAAATAGTGGAAGAAAATAGTCACAACCATATATACCAAAGAGATACAATTAAAAAGATGAACACATGTGAAACACTTTTCATATGTGTTCTTTTTTTTAATTGTACCCTTTGGTATATATGGTTGCGACAATTTTCTTCCACTATTTGATCCGAGGAAGTGGGTCTGGCCCACGAAAGCCCATCACCTAATAAACCATCTTGTTAGTCTTTAAAGTGCTACATAGTCCTGTGTTGTACTTCAAGGAGGTAATGCTTTCGCACTTCATTTCCTTCAGTTCGTGATCATTCTGAAAACTATTTTCTATGTACAATCTATGCCAGAGAGCTCCAAGTTGCAGGGGGGAGGTATTCCTGTATCATGGGATATATCAACCATGTCCATATTTTGTTTGCCTAAAAAATGTCCACAATAATAGAGCTCAACGGACTTGGCAGGTGTAACCCTAATTTGTCTCCACTGATGTCCCTATAAATCATTGTATGTGTATAATAGAGGTTAAAACATAGTTAATTCTTACAAATGGATTGCCTGGGCTTGTCAGGGCAACTGTTTTTTAAAGTAATTTACTTTTGGACACTTTTCTGTACTGAACAGCAGCTCTTGGTTTTTCCTCTGCATTTTGTTGAACCTCTCTAGTCTAGCACTCTCTGGTCCAGCGTGATTTTACTTAGGCAGATGTCCACTTACCATGGGTGAGGCCAAGATTCCCGCAGTCTCGTAAAGTTTGTTACAACCCCCAGTCCTGGCGCTCTGTGTTCTGTGCATTTATTTAGCTCTAACTTACCCTAAACGTCTTCTAAGAGCCCAGTGAGCAAGGGGAGTGGTGACTGGTCAGGTCCTGAGGGTGCCAGACTAGAAAGGTTCAACATGTAGCACTAACCTCCGACCATTAACATTAGGGCATTGTCTCTCAAATGCAAAAAGCTGAAGGAGATGTTGGATATTAATCATAGCTAATAGAGAAAAGAAAAGGCAAGAACTTTCTAGACTCTTCTTTGCTGAGTTTATCCTTCCGGGTTTCTGAACAGTGTTTCTGATCTGGAGAACCTAACAGTCATTGATTTGGGTTCATTTCTTTCCCCAGAGGTGACGGTAGTAGGTCTCAACAATACCAAGAAACTGACCATTGTCCAAGGCTGCCCAGGAATTCCAGGTGCTATAGGATCCAGAGGAAACCCAGGAATTGCAGGAAATATAGGTACAGAATGAGAATCAGCCATGGTGATTCCTATTTATGGTGCTCACATAAATAGGAATCAATTTTGTAATATGCTCAAGCTTTGGAGATTCCACTCAACCTTGATATGGAGGAAATTCTGCCCAGCTTACATGGCATATCTCCCATGTCCTCTGGTGAGAGGTTAGACCTTCTAGCTCCTAAATATCGTCCGTTCCCTTTGGGGCACAAGACTGACAAACAAGTCGTCTGGTTCTCTCTCCATCTGGATCACTGGGTGACCCTAAATATCAGGGACTTGGGAAGCCAGATGCAGATATTTGAATTCTGACAGAGATTAATTATTCCAATACTGGGTTGGGTGGGTGTCAAATACTCAGTAATTACAATACCTTGAAAAATATTGAGTTTTCTCTGTTTGCAGGAGAACGGGGAAGTCAGGGGATCCCTGGAAAGGCAGGACCAGTTGGCCCAAAAGGTAAAGTAACAAAGGGCAAAAGAGCTTTGTTTTCCTATTGGGTGACTTAAAAAGAGGAAATTTGTTTTGAATCAAATGTTTAATTAGCGCTCTTTATCTAACACCAGTTCCTATCATATCTGGGCTCCAAAGCCACCCTGGCTTCCCTTCACTCTATTTGACATCAAAGGGTTTATTATTCCACCACAACTTCTGTTCTGCTCCACAGCCGAGATCGGGGAATCTCTGACCAGCCTTTCCTGTTTTATCTTTTGTTCAACCAGGAGTAAAAGGTGCTGCTGGCCCCCCTGGACTGACAGGTGAGAGTCCTGCGATGGTTCTTCTCACTGCAGAGCCGGGCACCTTGTGGTGCTGTTCACGGTGACAGAGGACTTGGGAGCTACAACTCTCCCACCACGTTTCATTGTTCGGTTTTCCTTCCAGCATCTTGCTGGAATGAGAAGTGTCCCCTCTGTGTCTCCTTTGAACAGCCCAATGACAATGAAAATGATGTTCTGAAATGGACAGTTGGAAACATTCTTCTGCTTTGCTGAAAGTATTTGACAAATATGATCCCAACTGTTTGAAAGCCAAAACTGCATTTTTTTTGGTGAATAAAATATTAGAGCTGGAAAATTTACACCCAGCTCTAATTATAATGTCTGATGCTCTATGTCACAAGGTCCTATGCAGTAACGGGAAACAGACCCCAACTGCAGTGTAGACATAGCCTAAGCCTATTTCAGTTCAGCCAGTGCAGAGACAAGACAAGATAAATGCGGTGCTGCCAACCCCAGATGACTGAATATCTTGAGTCAGGTTCACCAAAAATCAGGAGGCTGGTTTTAGAATCATGAGACTATGGACAAATAATAGTCTTGGTGTTCTTTTTATTTGCTTTCTCCTTTTTGTGTGTTTAGGGTGTACTAGGGTCACATTTTAAGCTTTCTCCAGAGCTTTTCCTTTAAGAACGAAGGCTGTAATGATCTCAGACCCATATGGTCCCAGCATGTCGGGCTTTCAGGAAAACAATAATTATCATGAAACTCGTGACAAAACCGTATGAGTCGGCAACACTGTAAATGCATCACCTGAGGCCCACAAAACCAACATTAACAGATTGCTCAGAGTGTAAGGGGTGCATGGCTTTCTCCTAGCCCCGTGCACAATTACACCCACGTGATTGCTGTGGTGAGAGGTTGAATTATGCAGGTGGCATCTAGGCAAAACACGGATTTTACACTGAGTTCTATTTTTAGGAAGTCAAGGAGCCCCGGGGGACCCTGGACCTGCTGGAATACCCGGTGAGACCCTCTGCACTCTCCCTTGTACTGTGCGCATCATTGCAGTTTCATTTCTTCAGCACTAACATCAAGTGGCCTGAGGAGCTCGCTTCTTGGCTAGTTACCACGTCCACAGTATCAAGCTCACTGATTGTTCTGTAAGATTTGGGCTTTATAAAGGGAGAAATAGCCCTGCCTGCAGAAACAGGTGCCATCCATGTTTTGTAACATCCAAACCAACGCTAGGCAGAGCACCCTCAGTGTTAAAGAGAACAGCTGAAATGTAGGTGAAATCCACAAATCTGGATGTGTATCTAGAGAACGTTGCTTTCTCCTACATCCCTCCTGTCTCCAATGTACTGAGAGTATGAATCACAAGAAATGGATTTTATTTAGATGTCCAGTTAAAGGAATGGCCCTTCGTCTACCAGTATTTTATTTAACTGATATTCTCCCATTGTCACTTTTTTTTTTAATATATTGAGTCAAATTCACAGCTAATGTAAGCATATGCAGTTCCCCTGGGTTTGTGGGCATTGATCCTATGAACTGACCAGACATTAATTTAGCTTGTTAAGGACCAATTCTTACCCATGCAAGTAGGAGCCTCATAAGAGGGTTACAAAATAGTGTTGGCTACATATTGAGACCCGTCTTGATAGTTTAGTGTAGAAGGCTCACATTCGAGACGAGTGTGATTCCATTCGCACTTGGTTTTTCATAGTTAAAAAGCTGCCTAGGGCCTTTTCAGCATAACTACAGGCAGTCCCCGAGTTACGCGGATCTGACTTACGTCGGATCCGCAGTTACGAACGGGGCCGTCTCCCTGGTCTGCAGACCAGGGGGACGGGGAGCAAAGTGGCGGAACACGCGGGCAGCAGACAGCCCAGACGCATCTGGGCTGTCCGCTGCCTGCGTGTTCCGTGGCTTTGCTCCCCGTCTCCCTGGTCTGCAGACCAGGGGGACGGGGAGCAAAGTGGCGGAACACGCGGGCAGCAGACAGCCCAGACGCATCTGGGCTGTCCGCTGCCTGCGTGTTCCGTGGCTTTGCTCCCCGTCTCCCTGGTCTGCAGACCAGGGGGACGGGGAGCAAAGTGGCGGAACACGCGGGCAGCAGACAGCCCAGACGCATCTGGGCTGTCCGCTGCCTGCGTGTTCCGTGGCTTTGCTCCCCGTCTCCCTGGTCTGCAGACCAGGGGGACGGGGAGCAAAGTGGCGGAACACGCGGGCAGCAGACAGCCCAGACGCATCTGGGCTGTCCGCTGCCTGCGTGTTCCGTGGCTTTGCTCCCCGTCTCCCTGGTCTGCAGACCAGGGGGACGGGGAGCAAAGTGGCGGAACACGCGGGCAGCAGACAGCCCAGACGCATCTGGGCTGTCCGCTGCCTGCGTGTTCCGTGGCTTTGCTCCCCGTCTCCCTGGTCTGCAGACCAGGGGGACGGGGAGCAAAGTGGCGGAACACGCGGGCAGCAGACAGCCCAGACGCATCTGGGCTGTCCGCTGCCTGCGTGTTCCGTGGCTTTGCTCCCCGTCTCCCTGGTCTGCAGACCAGGGGGACGGGGAGCAAAGTGGCGGAACACGCGGGCAGCAGACAGCCCAGACGCATCTGGGCTGTCCGCTGCCCGCGTGCTCCGCCGCTTTGCTTCCTCTCCCTGGTCTGCTGGAGACCAGGGAGACGGCCCCGTTCGTAACTGCGGATCCGACGTAAGTCAGATCCGCGTAACTCGGGGACTGCCTGTACTGCTTTATGATCCCAGCTGCCACTGTTAGCCAATTACATAGTGTAAAAGATTGTGGAACATTTTCTGGTTTCATTTCAATTTCTATTGTTTTTCTTTTAATGACTAGGACTGACACAGCTGATTAAAATGAAGTATCAGAAAGGTGAGAGTTTCTTATAACCACTGAATGTCATGTGGTTGTGGCCAAGGAACCCAAATATAAAAACCTATTGGAGGTAGAAAAATGGAAAAGAAAATCTGTGTTTTGCCTCATTTCCTATTCTCAAACTATCCACAGAGACTTTCATCTTTTAAAATGAATGTGGTTATATTAGCAATTGGCCAGTATCTTTTGTGGAAATACTTTTCAGCCACTGGGTACATTTGCAAACTGTGTGATGTGAGTATTCCTGTGAGCAGCTGATATCCTTTTAAGGAGAAGGGTCACTCTAGTCACACAATAACTGAAAGCCCTTCAGGCTCACAGAGGGATTTCAAAATGGTTGCATGGTCACTTCCAGGAGAGGTTGTTGTGCATATTTTAATTTTGATGAGTTTTCAAGATGCTTTGGGCCTTTCCTTTGCTCAGACTGAGCTGTAATCACAGGGTATGTCTACACAGCAAAGTTATTTCAGGATACCAGACGTCTTTTGAACGCATCCACTACAGCCTCTCCCCGAGTGACAAATGAGTTACGGACCAAACACTTGGCCGTAATTCGATCCGTTCGAAACTCGGACCCCATGGAGTTACACAGTGACCGCGCTGTTCGTAAGCATGGGTCGCGTTCATAACTCGGGGACCGCCTTTATGGCCGCTCCATGGGAGCTTTGGTCATAAGTGCGAATGGTCGTAACTCGACCGATCGCAACTCGGGGAGAGGCTGTATTTCAAAATATAGCGGACACGTTATTTTGCCATCCCTGTAAGCCTCATTGGACAAGGAGTAATGGATGGCTCAAAATAGCACTGTTTTCAAAATTTGGGGCTGTGTAATAAGCTATTTCAGAATAGACTCGTATCTTATTTCGAGTTTTGAGTACTGTGTAGATGCAGCTACACAGAACACATGGGGTTGGACTGGAGTTGCATCTTTTCCTCTTTCAGACAGACTTAATATGAACCACACTGGCACACTAGTCTAAATAATTAGGATTGCTAATTATAGAGACAATGAAAAGTCTCCATCTGCTTCTGCTCCAGTAGGTTTCCAAAGACAGAACACATAGGGAATCCATACACAGACCACAGTCTATTGAGAGGGACACTACTCAATTCACATATGCTACAGTGTGGAGAAAAGGAGAAGGTGACTCAAAGATTATTTTCCAATTATCTGAGTACGTAATTGATTTGGCCTCCAGTGCAACATAAAAGAGCCTATGAATCCTGCAGCAAGCAAAGTTACACCACCAATTTACAAATGTCAATTCCTCTTTCAACCAGGACCAAAAAACTGCAAGGAGCTGTTAGCCAGAGGGAACCACATGAGCGGCTGGTACACCATCTACCCCCAAAATTGTCACGCCATGAAAGTGCTGTGTGACATGGACACAGATGGTGGAGGATATGGACGCTTTTCCGCAAAAAGTGCTTTTGCGCAAAAGTGTCCGTGCCAATCTAGACGCTCTGTTCTGAAAATGCTTTTAACGGAAAAGTTTTCCGTTAAAAGCATTTCCGGAAAATCCTGCCAGTCTAGACGTAGCCAGACACTTTCCAGCCCTGCTAACCCTCCTGACCCTCACCGAAGGCTTCTTGACACCTGGGCAGTGGGCACGAGGGGTTTCATGGAGGGAGCCTGGAGCCTTAGAACCAAAAGACCCCGTCTGAGGGGACATTTGTCACTGGTACGACACAGGTCCCCGGATTCCCCCTTCTGGCTGTTCTCTGCCCGGCTCCCGGAGCCTCCTCAATAGGGGCTGGAACCAGGATTCCTGCTTCCTTCCACAGGCCTGCTGCATCAGCTGCTGTATTGAGAACACAGAGAATGTTCTAGGGAGCTGAGGCGACAAAGGGTTTGAACCCAATATATACATCCCATTGCAACTCTATTTACTATGCCCATATCCCATGAGAGCCTCAAGAACCCGATGAAGATCAGGGCCCCATGGTGCTGGGGGCTGGGCAAAGACGGACCGAGAGACAGTCCCTGTCCTCAAGAGCTCACAGTCTCTGCAGACAGGGCAGGCAGAGGGGCGACAGAGGGCCAAGGCCGTGGGAGTTATCCAAATAAGAACATAAGAACGGTCGTACTGGGTCAGACCAAAGGTCCATCTAGCCCAGTATCCTGTCTGCCGACAGTGGCCAGCACCAGGTGCCCCAGAGAGGGTGGACTGAAGACAATGATCAAGCGATTTGTCTCCTGCCATCCCTCTCCAGCCTCTGACAAACAGAGGCCAAGGACACCATTTTATCCCCTGGCTAATAGCCTTTTATGGACCTAACCTCCATGAAATTATCTAGTTTCTCTTTAAACTCTATTATAGTCCTAGCCTTCACAGCCTCCTCTGGCAAGGAGTTCCACAGGTTGACTACACGCTGTGTGAAGAAGAACTTTCTTTTATTAGTTTTAAACCTGCTCCCCATTAATTTCATTTGGTGTCCTCTAGTTCTTCTATTTAGGGAACTAATAAATAACTTTTATTTATCGGCCCTCTCCACACCACTCATTATTTTATAGACCTCTATCATATCCCCCCTCAATCTCCTCTTTTCTAAACTGAAAAGTCTCAGTTGCTTTAACCTCTCCTCATACGGGACCCGTTCCAAACCCCTAATCATTTTAGTTGCCCTTTTCTGAACCCGTTCTAAGGCCACAATATCTTTTTTGAGGTGAGGAGACCACATCTGTACACAGTATTCAAGATGTGGGCATACCATAGTTTTATACAGGGGCAGTAAATGGCAGAACTGGGTGCAGAACCGAGTGGCCCTTTGTTGCTGCCAAGCTACACTGTGATCGTCCGGACAAGCCCTCTGCGCTAGTCCCCTCAGGCTGAACTGGAGCTGACACTGTCCGTCTCCCCAGCGCTTTGCTGCCTCGGGGTTTCCAGTCTCACGCTCTGTGTGGGAGGGTGACAAAGTGGGGTTTCCAGCTAAGAGTCTCCCGTTCCCCTGCAGGTGTTCCAGAAACGGGCGGACGGCTCCGTGGATTTTTTCTGTGACTGGAAGTCGTACAAAAATGGTTTTGGCAGCCTGCTTTCAGATTTCTGGCTGGGGAATGACAACATCCACCTGTTGACGTCCCTTGGTAAAGACATCAGTGATTCATTCTTTTCCTAGCTGCGATCTAACCCCCCGAGTTTTGTAACCACACTTTAGCCATGGCCAGAGGGTAGAGAGTGGTACCATCAGTAGAGAAAACTCTGCTGCTGCAGACACCCCTTCCTCTGCCTGTTCCTTACAGCCCAGCGCTGCCACACAAAGCTACTGCAACCAATAGTGCTCTAGTAGCTGTGCTGTCCCACAGTACAGCAAGGAGGGATGCTACAGGCTGGATGCGAGGTGCTGAACATTTTGCTTTCAAATTGTTTTCTAAAGGAACCAATGAGCTTCGCATTGATCTATGTGATTTTGACGGCCACTATGAATATGCCAAATACTCGTCATTCAAAATTGCAGGAGAGGCTGACAACTATCAGCTGAACCTTGGAGCCTTTGTTAATGGCACGGCAGGTAGGTTCTGAGCTCATCCTTTACTCTTTGTGGCACATGGAAAAATGGAAAGCCAAAGAGATGCAGAATATTCTATGGCACAAGCAGAAGGAGACATAAACCGTGGGAAAGCTCTCTATCAGAAAACACCAGTTATTCTGCAACTGAGCTATTATGGGAAGAATACAATCCCTAGTGACAACAAAGCATATAGCATAGCATGGATACCCTGCCTAGTGCTGATTGCTTTCCTATATTAGACCATTATGCCCATAGAAATATCTGAATTATACTAAGTAGTGGCACTAGAGGTGGTACAAATCATTGAGTGGGCGGAGAGGTTCCATTTTATGCCCACTGCATCCAGAGAGAGTCCGTAGCATACAGGGATTGCTGAGGCCCACCCACTCCCCAGCTAGGGAGGAGGGTGGTTTAGGTTTAAAAGAGGCAGGTGACAAAGGCCCTCGGGAAGCGAAAAGGGCCACTTAACAGAGGCTAGATGTTGGGGGCAGAGATGTAGCATCAGAGGAGGAAAAAGGGGGAAACTAGTAGAGGAATCTGCTCAGATCTCAGATACCTCAACAGAGATGCAAGGTGGCTGGGAAATAAACAGGAAGAACTGGCAGGATTCGGGTAACAGTAGAATTGCTATTTCACTGGCATCACGGAAATGGGATGGGATAAGTCTCATTACTGGAATATTGCAAGAGTGAGGTACAGTTTGTTTAGGAGGTACCAGCAGGGTGGAAAGGGAGGAGGTGTTGAGTCCTACAGCAAGAGTACATACATTTGTTCTCTGCTCCAGGAGATGAGCAGACCTAGTGCCAGGCTCTCGGTAAAGAAAAAAAGGGTGAAAATAGGAAGTGACCTCTTGGTGTGGGCGTACAATAGGCCTGGGGGACTTTAAGTACTCAAGCATTTTTTGGAAAAGTACTACATTTCTGTAAGTCCCTTGAATGTGTTGTGGACACCATTTTGTAGAGGAAGTAACCAGGGAGACCAGCCATTTTAAGTCTTAATTGTGACCAACAGAGAGGAATTGGTAGCAAATCTGAAGCTGGAAGACAATTTGGGTGAATGTGATAATGAAATCACAGATTTCTCTATGCAGGAGTAAAAGCTGTAGATGAAGGACAATGATTATAGGTAATTTTCCTGCTCTGATCAACACTCATGAGGCCTCAACCAGAGAACTGTGTCAAATTCTGGGCACAATGCTTTAGGAAAGATATGGACAAACTGAAGAGAGTTCAAACGATGATTCCTAGTCTTGAGAAAGGAGGACGAGGGGGAGCGACCTGGTAACAGTTTCAAATATGTTAATGCCTGTGAACTGTGGTCAACAGTTCTCCATGTCCACTAACAGAAGGAGAAGTGATGAGCTTAATCTGCTGATAAAAAGATCAAGGTTAGAATTAGAAATACATTTCTAAGTAGAAGGGTGGGTAAACTCTGGAATTGGCTTCCCACAGAGGTTCTGAAATGTACACCACTGGAAGTTATTAAGAACAGTTGGGCAAACACCTGTCAGGGATAGTAATAGAAACAAAATACAGGACTATGCAGCACTTTAAAGACTAATAAGATGGTTTATTAGGTGATGAGCTTTCGTGGGCCAGACCCACTTCCTCAGATCAAATAGTGGAAGAAAATTGTCACAACCACATATACCAAAGGATTCAATTAAAAAGATGAAAACATATGAAAAGGACAAATCAAATTTCAGAACAGAAGGGGGATGAGGGGGAGAGGTAAGTGTCTGTGAGCTAATGTCAGGAATGGTTTAGATTTACTTGGTGCTGCCTCAGTTTAGGGGACTGGACTTAGTGACTTCTCAAAGACCCTTTGCGCCCAACATTTCTATGATCCTGAATCCTTGGCAGGCTCCCTGCAAAGCTGTTAGTGCTAGGAGTGCCCTGGGCTCACATGACACCATCACAATGGTGCAAAGTGACTTCAGGACACCCAAGGGCTCAGCCCACTGATTGTACTGAGTGACTGTGGGTGTCAAGGGGTGTAACTGAGGCTATGTCCACACTGCTGGGGGGTTTTCGGAAAAAGGTACGCAATTTGCGAACTTCAATTTGTGTACCTTTTTCCAATTCTTTTTTCCGAAGAGGCCCATCTATGTAGGAATTTCGGAAGAGCCCTTATGCCTCATAAAATGAGGAATACAGGGCTTCCGAAAGAGCGCAACTGCTCTTTGGAAACATTTTTGGAAGAGCAGACGCATTCCCTGGACCCTTTTCCAGTATTCCAGAAAAAAAAACTCCATAGTGTAGACAGAGCCTGAGATCAGAACATGGGCTGGTGAAAAACATTCCTCACTGGAAGTAAAACTGCAGCCTCTCTCCTGGGCCCATGGGAACTTTCTGCTGCCTAGTGGAAATAAAACTGTAGTAACTGAACAGCAGGAAAGCCAGGCTCAGCTGTAGGAACTGAACTGTAAAAATGTAAAAAAAATAAAATATTACTTCACACATCTTGTCTCAGCAAAAACATGTAATAAATAAACCCAATTGTTTCCACAGGGGATTCCTTAACCGAACACAACGGCATGATGTTTACAACCAAAGACCATGACAACGACTTGTCCATCACTAACTGTGCTACATTGTCTAAAGGGGCCTGGTGGTACAAGGATTGTCATAAATCCAATCTGAATGGATTATACCTGAAAGGAGTCCATGAAAGTTATGTTGATGGGGTGAACTGGTCTTCAGGGAAAGGGCATAAGTACTCCTACAGGCTGTCCGAGATGAAAATTAGGCCTGTGTAGCCAGTTGAGGGGGGCAGTTACTATAATTATACTAAACTCTTATACAGCAGTTGTAGGCTTGTCACAATGAATGTTTATCTGGAGAGGAGATTAAAGATCTTTTTTCTCCATCAGCCACTAGGGGGCAGACATTATCACACACACTTATCCAGCACTGTGCCATAGGAATAGAGCTGATTTTAAAAAGATAAAAATAGTTTTGTGAGGAGAAAAAATGGATTTTCTAAGCTGTTTTCATTTCAAAGGTTCTAAATTAACCCGTTTTTGCTTTTGTGTTTTTAAATTTCTGCAGATTTTTTTAGAACCCTCTCCCTAATATGTAGCCTCACAACATGTTGTTTTATTTGCTCATTTTTTTAAAAAACTGTGGTCGTTATCACAAGAATATCTTCAACGATTATTGCGAAAAAATAAAAAATACATGATTTATTCCCTGCCAAGCAAAACATGGCGATGTCAGTGATATTTCATGGAAATGCCCCTGTGCTTTTAAAACTGTTTGCCCACAGAAAATCTCTCAGTTTGCAAACTGCCGGCCAGGGCTGTCTTGGTCCTGTCTCCTTTCCCGGCCAGCTCTCTGCTGTCTGGTGAGTCCATTCCTGGCTGCTCCTAGAATATAAGAACGGCCACACTGGGTCAGACCAAAGGTCCATCCAGCCCAGTATCCTGTCTGCCCACAGTGGCCAATGCCAGGTGTCCCAGAGGGAGTGAACTGAACAGGTACTGATCAAGCGATCTCTCTCCTGCCATCCATCTCCACCCGCTGACAAACAGAGGCTGGGGACATCATTCCTTACCCATCCTAGCTAATAGCCATTAATGGACTTAACCTCCATGAATTTATCTAGTTCTCTTTCAAACCCTGTTCTAGTCCTAGCCTTCACAACCTCTTTAGGCAAGGAGTTCCACAGATTGACTATGCGCTGTGTGAAAAATAATTTCCTTTTCTCTGTTTTAAACCTGCTGCCCATTCGTTTCATTTGGTGGCCCCTAGTTCTCATATTATGGGAACAAGTCAATAGCTTTTCCTTATTCACTTTCTCCGTACCAGCCCTTCTTCCCCGGCTGCCAGCCACTCGGTACCTGCAGATGCTGCCTCCGCCTCTGGGATCCTTCCCCTGGGCAGATCAAGCAAAGGTGGCTGGAGGATCCCCCGGCTCACGCCTGAGGGCTGGGCCCTGCATTGTTACATGGAGGGCGGGGGCAGAGGCCCCGGGCTGGGGGGGCGGTCCTTGTCTGGTTCCCTGGGGCGCACAAGGGGCACGACCTCGGCCAGCAGTGCCATAAGAACATAAGAACGGCCGTACTGGGTCAGACCAAAGGTCCATCTAGCCCAGTATCCTGTCTGCCGACAGTGGCCAGCACCAGGTGCCCCAGAGAAGATGGACCGAAGGCAATGATCAAGCGATTTGTCTCCTGCCAGCCTCTGACAAACAGAGGCCAGGGACACCATTTTATCCCCTGGCTAATAGCCTTTTATGGACCTAACCTCCATGAAATTATCTAGCTTCTCTTTAAACTCTGTTATAGTCCTAGCCTTCACAGCCTCCTCTGGCAAGGAGTTCCACAGGTTGACTACACGCTGTGTGAAGAAGAACTTTCTTTAATTAGTTTTAAACCTGCTACCCATTAATTTCATTTGGTGTCCTCTAGTTCTTCTATTATGGGATCTAATAAATAACTTTTCTTTATTCGCCCTCTCCACACCACTCATGATTTTATAGACCTCTATCATATCCCCCCTCAGTCTCTTCTTTTTTAAACTGAAAAGTCCCAGTCGCTTTACCCACTTTTCATATGGGACCCGTTCCAAATCCCTAATCATTTTAGTTGCCCTTTTCTGAACCCTTTCCAAGGCCAAAATATCTTTTTTGAGGTGAGGAGACCACATCTGTACACAGTATTCAAGATGTGGGCGTACCATAGTTTTATACAGGGGCAGTAAGATATTCTGGGTCTTATTTTCTATCCCTTTCCTAATAATTCCTAGCATCCTATTTGCCTTTTTGACCGCCGCTGCACTCTGTGTGGAAGTTTTCAGAGAACTGTCCACGATAACTCCAAGATCTCTTTCCTGATTTGTCGTAGCCAAATTAGCCCCCATCATACTGTACGTATAGTTGGGGTTATTTTTCCCGATGTGCATTACTTTACACTTATCCACATTAAATTTCATTTGCCATTTTGTTGCCCAATCACTCAGTTTGGTGAGATCTTCTTGGAGTCCCTCACAGTCTGCTTCTGTCTTGACTATCCTAAACAGTTTGGTATCATCTGCAAACTTTCCCACCTCCCTGCTTGCCCCTTTCTCCAGATCATTTATGAGCAAGTTGAACAGGACTGGCCCCAGGACTGGCCCTCGGGGGACCCCACTAGTGACCCCTCTGCATTCTGACAATTCTCCATTTATTCCCACCCTTTGTGTCCGGTCTCTTAACCAGTTCTCAGTCCCAGGACCCCCCCCCCCTTATCCCGTGCCCGGCTGGGGAAGGGGCCAGTCTGACCATGTGGTGCCCACAGGCCGCCCACTGCCCGGGGAACCAGGCCGAGACTAGAAAGTCCCAGGGCTGAGCCCGAGCCTGCAGGGCCTTGTGGGGCAGGACTGGCCGCCCCTCCCTCGC